CCAGCGGGAGAGGTGTGAGGTTCGAACTCCAGCAACCTGAGGCTGACAGCTTTGTGGAAGCAGCCACTTAAAGGCCTGAGCTAGGGCCAGGCCCCCACCCAACTATTCTTAATATTGACAGAAAGCCAACACACACACACACACACACACTTGTTCTCCACACATCCAAACCCACTTTACAACACACTATGCTGTAGCTGTTAGGACCAATGCTCATGAGTTTACTCCTCTTTCTGCTGCTTGGAGGAAAAGGTAATAACAACACAATTTCACCACTTATCCTCTTTATGTTCATGTTCAAAGTAAACAACCACAAAAATATTTTTTGCATAGAGATGAAAATCTGTGTGTATTGTGGGTCATGCCGAAGGTTTAGAGACCTGTGATCTGAGTAGGCCATACAGTTCAATTTAACAACCATGCATTTCTTGCCTTCAGAGCCCAGGAACAGAGGTGTAAGAGGAACTAGACAAGGAGACATCAAGATAAAAGAGAGAAGGACCTACTGTCCCAGTGCTTTAAAACCATTAAAAAAAAAATCTTTAGAGTATCTCAGACCAATAAGTGTTGTAATAGACACATAGGACATACAGGCACATACATCTCAAGGTATGAAGTGGAGACACAAAGGTGGAGTTTGAATGTGTATACATTGGAGAGGCTGAGTAGGTAAAAAAACCAATCTGTCCCCCCATACATATCATAAATAGAGAAGTCTTCCATCACTGCAGAGAACACATGCAGAGCACAGAGAAGGCATGGAACCTGTAGAAGTTAATGGCTAAAGATGCAAAAAGGGCCCTTCATGACAGACTGACAGCTGGACCTCATCCAAAAGGAGAGAAAAGATTTTGAGCAGAAGAGATAAGGTCAGATCTGTTTTTAAAATATAACCCTGGGGAGAGGTTGGAAGTATAAACAACAATTATAGGCACTGTTGTAGTCACAGTTTATAAGGAAAAAGGTGTAATACAGAACACATAATTTATAGGACTTCACAATATTCACCCAAAAAGCCAAATTCAAAAAAGTGGGGAAGGGCTGGGGAGATAGTTCAGTAGAAATAAGCACTTGCCTGGCAAGTGCAGGGTCCTGAGTTCAATCCCCAGCACCACACCAAAAAAAAAAAAAAAAAAAAGACAAAAGAGTGGGGAAGATTTGTCCACACAATAAAGACTCAAACAATCCAGCTGAGGGCCTGGATCCACAGCAATGTTCTGCATGAGTCCAGCTGGAGGCTGAGCGTCCACAACAATGTCTCATGCAAGTCTGTATCAAGGATCTGCACTGGGAGGGTCCAAAGGTCAGTGATGGAAACTAGAAAGTCTGTGTCAGTGGGATGAAGGATTTGTGAGAGCAGCTGAGTTACCTGCACTGGAATCAAGAAGTGACACTCAAGGACAAAAGCTCTTCCAAAGAGAACTGCAGCCATCCTTGGCAGAACTACAGTGTCCTGAGCTCCTCTGATAATGAGAACAGCTGATTTTATATCAAGAAAACCATCAAGAGGCTGAGAGGTAAAAGAAAACCAATCTGGGTATTGTGGGAAGGCACTGTTGTAGTCACAGTTTATAAGAAAAAGGTGTAATACAGAATACATAATTTATAGGACTTCACAATATTCACCCAAAAAGCCAAATTCAAAAAAGTGGGGAAGGGCTTCTCTAGGAGAATCAACAGCACACCATCTTCTCCTCTAGTTCGTTTATGCTGTTGGCAACAATCCTCAAATGGGCCTCCTGCACTCAGCACCACCCTGACACAGTTCAGCTGGGTGTTCCAAGTTGACCATTAGCTAATTGTACACAGCCAACATTTCCTCAGGTTTCTGTTTTATCAGTGTAGAAATAGACCAAGAAAAGTCAAATAATTTGATGTAGATCCCATAACAGGTTCTTTTTTTTTTTTAATTTTTTTATTTATTTTTTATTTATTTATTTTGTGTGTGTGTGTGTGTGTGTGTGGCCAGCTCAGCCCACCAGGGGGTGGGGCTGGCTGGCATGTGGTGCTGGGGGATTGAACCGTGGTCCCTGTGCTTTGCTTAGCTTAGCTTGTTTTAAGTAGATGCTTTAGACCACTGAGCCATCTCACCAGCCCCCCCATAACAGGTTCTGATACAGGAGATAGGGTGTGACAGCTGGCTGGGGACATAAGCAGGCCCTGTCAATCACAAGACTGCATGGAAAGCCCAGGGCCCCATACATAGATCTTCTCCTGAGCTCCCAGGGGAGGTGGATGGCATAAAGCAAGATCATATGACACAGGAGCCATTATTATGACTTCCCACAATACCCACACTGCATTTTTCAGATACTTCTGGTGGTGCTTTTACCTTATTTTTCCCTTTGTTCAGCCCAAGTTTGCTCAACAGAGTTTATTTCTCCATATTTACTCAATCCATACTCTTGATTTTTTTTTTTTTTTTTTTTTTTTTTGTGGAACTGGGGATTGAACTCAGGCCCTTGCGCTTGCCAGGGAAGTGCTTATTCCAAGGAGCCATCTCCTTGGCCCTGAAATAAAATTTTGACACTGTTTTTGGGTTGTCTCATCTCTGGAATTTTTTTTTTTTTTCTCATTAAACTTTGTTTTAATGGGTCTCAAAATTCTGTGACAGATTTTTGGTCAAGTTGTTTCCATTAAAAAGTATTGATTTTAAAAACTAATAACTTAAAATTTGCCACACACAAAAAAATAGTCCCATTAAATATTCTCCTTTCCTTCTGAAGGTTTTACAATACATTGTTATCATTAACCATTCTTTCACCATTAAACTTAAATGGCCAATTGGGAGAAACAATTCTGAAATCGGTCTTCCACCGATTAAGACTAGGGAGGGGGTGGAGGGTGGGGTGCTGAGGGGGCAGAGATGGCTCAGTAGAATAAGTGCTTGCCTGACAACCTCAAGGGCTTGAGTTCAGTCCCCGGTGGGTTCTGCCAAAAAGAAAAAGGTTTTCTTTTGGGACCCGGGAGATGGCTGAGTAGAATAAATGCTTGCCTAGCAAGTGCAAGGGACTGAGTTCAATCCCTGGTTCTTCCAAAAAAAAAAAAAAGATTGGGGTAGCAGATGCCAGGCATAATATCCTTTTAGCCTTCTGAGGTTTCTGGGCAGACTTGGTGACCTTGCCACCTCCAACAGCCTTCTTGTCCACAGCTTTGATGACATCCACAGCAACTGTCTGTCTCATATCGGGAACAACAAAAGGACCCAGAGGTGGTAGCCAGAGAAGTTCTCAACACACATGGGCTTGCCTGGAGCCATGTCAACAATAGCAGTATCACCAGATTTCAAAAACTTGGGCCCATCTTCCTTCTAACTTCTTACCAGACCAGCAATCAATCTTTTCTTTCCGCTCAGCAAACTTGCAAGCAATGTGAGCAGTGTGACAGTCCAGGACAGGGGCATAGCCAGCAATGATCTGGCCAGGATAGTTTAGGATAATCTCCTGAGCAGTGAAACCTGCTGCTTCCATCGGTGGGTCATTTTTGCTATCACTGGCAACATTGCCACGCCAGACATCTTTGACAGACACATTCTTGAAGCCCATATTGTCCCCAGGAAGAGCTACACTCAATGCTTCATGCTGCATTTCAACAGTCTTGACTTCAGTTGTGATGTTGACTGGAGCAAAGGTGACCACCATGCTGGATTTGAGAACACCAGTCTCCACTCGGCCCACAGGGACAGTGCCAATACCACCAATTTCATAGACATCCTGGAGAGGCGGCTGCAAAGGCTTATCAGTTGGGTGAGTGGGTGAAAGGATGCAATGCAAAGCTTCAAGCAGTGTGGTTCCTCTGGTATTGCCATCTTTACGAGTGACCTTCCATCCTTTAACCAAGGTATGTTAGTACTTGGCTCCAGCATGTTGTCACCATTCCAACCAGACATTGGCACAAAAGCCACGGTGTCAGGGTTGAAGCCAATTTTCTTAATGTAGGTGCTTACTTCCTTAACAATTTCCTCGTATCTCTTCTGGCTGTAGGGTGGCTCCATGGAATCCATTTTGTTAACTCCAACAATTAGTTGTTTCCCATCCAGTGTGTAAGCCAGAAGGGCATGCTCATGGGTCTGCCTGTTCTTGGGGATACCAGCTTTCTGGCAAGTACGAATTCACCAACACCAGCAGCAATAATCAGGACAGTACAGTCAGCCTGCAATGTGCCTGTAATCATGTTTTTGGTGAAGTCTCTGTGTCCAGGGGCATCAATAATGCACACATAATACTTGCTGGTCTCAAATTTCCACAGGGAGATGTCAGTGGTGATACCACACTCACACTTGGCTTTTAGCTTGTCCAACATCCAGGCTTACTTGAAGGAACCCTTCCCCATCTGAGCAGCCTCTTTCTTGAATTTTTCAATGGTTCTTTTGTTGATGCCACTGCATTTGTAGACTAGATGGCTGGTGGTGGTGGACTTGCCGGAGTCCATGTGTCCAATGACGACAATATTAATGTGAGCCTTTTCCTTTCCCATATTAGCTTTGATTTAGTGGTGGTTTTCACTACACCAGTGCTCTTGCAGCAAACCATTTGCAAAAAGCTGGATTTTTTTTTTTTTAATCTTTTTGAGACAGGGTCAGCATGGTACCTTTCTGGCAAGTACGAGGTCCTGAGTTCAGTTCCCAATACCAAAAATAAAAAAGCCTGAGACAGGATCTTGCTATGTGTAGCCCAGGCTGGTCTCAAACTCACAACAATCCTCTTTCCTCAGCCTCTTGAGTGCTGGGATTACAGGCACATGCCACTATTCAATACTTTTCATTGGTGAGCCATTTCTAAAGGAACTACCTCATAAGGGTTCAGAGCCAGAATTTCAACTCAGGTCTGCCTGATTCCACTGCATTGAGCCTGGTCAGGCAACCACTGAAGAGCAGAGGAGATGAAGGCAGCAGGAGGATCAGTGAGGCTCTGAGGAAGCAAGTGGTACCCTGTCTACTCATGGCGATCTGGTGGCCACATTCTAGTAAATCTTCAGTGTCATCTTCCTGCCAGGATGTCAAGATCACCTACAAATTCAGAGCAAGGAAACCCAGCTGGAGGGCTCCCATGAGACTTAACCTTCACTCTACTTCTTCTGGGTTGCCTTCTTTGCCTTTTCCTTTATACATCTGTGTTCCATGCAGCCTATTTTAGTGTTGGCATTATAACACTCTGATGAAATTTTGATACTATCTGAATGAATCTGGAAACTACATGTATGTACACGGAAAAAGCCAGTGAGCAAGCAGGATGTGGAGAAAACTGTGGGAA